GAAGGAAGGAAGGAAGGAAGGAAGGAAGGAAGGAAGGAAGGAAGGGCTCAGCATGTATGCCCTAATGTCCCTTTCCTGCCAGGACAGCATCACCTACAAAACTACCAGCATCTGCATTCCTGGCACCATCAGTCTTAAGTGTATTCTAGTCACCTGCCACCAAGCACCACCAGGGCAGCTGATGAGGACCCCAACTGACAAAGTTGGGGTCAGCTACACAGTTGGGCCTGGTGGCTAGCTGTTCAAGAAGCCAGTTAGTGGCAGTTTGGGAAGCTGCAGGAGGTGTGGCCTTGCTGGAGGAGGTGTGTCACTGGGGAGCAGGGCTTTGAGGTTTCAAGACTTTCAGGGCTAGCTCCGTTTCTTGCTTGTAGTTTGAGATGTGAGCTCTCAGTTGCTGCTCCAGCAGCCTGTTTCCTGCTACCCCCATTCTACCATGATGAACTCTAACCCTATGGAACCATGAGCCCCAAATAAACTCCTTCTTTTGTACATTGCCTTGGTCATGGTGTTTTATCACAGCAATAGAAAAGTAGCTAAGAAAAAATGCCTGTGACTTGTGGTAGTACTTTTTCATCAGGACGCAGCCTCCAAATAATGACACAGAGACTTATTATTTATTATGAAAGCTTGGCCTTAGCTTAGGCTTTTTCCCTACTAGCTCTTTTTTTTTATTTTTTTCTTTTTTTTTGGTTTTTCGAGACAGGGTTTCTCTGTCTTGTAGACCAGGCTGGTCTCGAACTCACAGAGATCCACTGCCTCTGCCTCCCGAGTGCTGGGATTAAAGGTGTGCGCCACCAATGCCCGGCAAGGAGATATAATGTTTTTGTTTTTGTTTTTGTTTTTGTTTTTTTGAGACAGGATTTCTCTGTGTAGCTTTGGAGCCTCTCCTGGCACTCGCTCTGGAGACCAGGCTGGCCTCGAATTCACAGAGATCCACCTGCCTCTGCCTCCCGAGTGCTGGGATTAAAGGTGTGTGCCACCAACACCCGGCTCTTCTATTTTTTTTTCACGATTTATTTATTTGCATTGGTGTTTGTCTACATGTGCATCTGTGTAAGGGTGTTGGATCCCTTGGAACTGGAATTATATACAGTTGGGAGCTGCCATGTGGTTGCTGGGAATTGAACCCCAGTTCTCTGGAAGAGCAGCCAGTGCTCTTAACTGCTGAGCCACCTCTCCAACCCCTAACCTGCTTCTACTAATCTACATCCTGCCATGTGGCTCAGTTACCTCTCCTCTGTACCATATGTCTCGCTGGCGTCCCCACCTCTCTTCTTCTTAAAGACCTTTCTCTCCTGAGAAGTCCCTATACTCTTCTGCCTAGCTATTGGCCTTTTAGCTCTTTATTAAACCATTCAGAAGGCTCCTTAGGCAGAGACACATCTTTTCAGTGTAAACAAATATTCCACTACAGTGACTAGCCACATTGTGTGTGTGTGTATGTTGGTACTAGCATTGAACCTATGACCTTGCAAGTATGAGGAGGCAAGCTCTCTGCTGTAGTGTCCCCATCCTGTGAGCCACATCTTGCAAGAGGGTAAACACTGGCACTGGAAAGGGAGCCAGAGCATCTGCCTCATTTGTGCCTTGTGCAGCCCACACATTGCTGGTGCTTCCCTGGGGTCAGATGGGAACAGTTCCTATTTAGCACCCACTTGTTCCAGGTCACTACTCTGTTTTACCTGGACAACCCTTCTACCTACAAGCAGTATAGCTAGGCCAAGGGAATGACTCAGCCCCTGGCAGTTGCAGCCTGCCTCCCTTGGACCCTAAGGTTTACTGTCAAATCTGATGAGTTAATGGAGACCCGCCTTTGTGGCTTAGAAATCCTGCATATGGTACTTGCCCTCCTTAACACAGATACTTTTCAAAATTGTTTCCAAGATTGACCAGGACAGAGCCTGCAGAGGGCCTGCACTGCCTTAGGTACATCACGGGTGTGCTTCACCTTTCACCCTGCCCTGCTGGGCCCATAATATGGGTGACAGTCAGGAGAAAGGCTGGAAGAGACATACCAAACACTTAAATGGCTGCTCTGGGACATGGGGTTATGTGATGCCATCTCATTCTTTTCTAGGCCTCTAATTTTATCCAGTATTGTTTTATTTTGTTTGCTTTTTTAGAAGGCACCTCATTCTGTAGCATTAGTTGTCCTGAAACTCACTCTTTCGCCCAGACCAAACCTGAACTCATTACAGTCCTCCTGCCCCGGGCTCCTGAGTGCTGGGACCACAGGCACGAGCTGCCAATTGAGCTTTACGCACACAATAAATCAAAGACAAACAGCCACCCTTGTGCTGTCTGCAGGAGCTGACACTTCTTCTCGCTTGCAGTTCATGCGGGAGATGGCAGGGGCCTGGCACATGACAGTGGAGCAGAAGTCTGGCCTCTTTTCTGCTGAAACAAAGGAAGCAGACCCCCTGGCGGCATCAGAAGCAAGTCAGCCTAGACCTTGTCCCCCCGAAGTAACTCCCCACTACATCTGGATCGATGTACGTGCCTGCCAAGCTCTGCTGTGCTTTGTCCAGTCAGTCTCCCCTCTGTACAGGGACACCTGCAGTAGGCTGGCACACCAGCCAGCCGAGGGGCCCTGGCCTGAGAGAATGTGTGCTGTCCAGACCCCTCCTCTGGTTCTCCCTGCTTTCCTGCTTTCCTGTCACCCAGAACCCCTCTTACCAGCTGCTCTTATGAGCACTAGGATGAGACTGGCCCACCCCAACTTACGCAGCTTGTTTACCTCCTTACCCAGTTCCTGGTACAGCGCTTTGAGATCGCCAAGTACTGTAGCTCTGACCAGGTGGAGATCTTCTCAAGCCTGCTACAGCGCTCCATGTCCCTGAATATTGGTGGAGCCAAGGGGAGCATGAACAGGCACGTGGCAGCCATCGGACCACGTTTCAAGTGAGGGCTCTTTTTCTGGGGGCATCTTGGTGTCCTGTTACTGGTGTGGGGGGCATGTCTGTAACATGTGAATCATGGTGTGCGTGGGTAGGTGTGTCCTGTGATTCTTCTGTGCAATGAGAGAAAAATCCTATGGCACTGTTCTCAGGAAGAACGTATAGAAGACTTGAGCCCATGAGCCTCTGGCTAGGTAAAAGCCTCTCAAGTCGCTGCTCCCCTAGTCGAGTCTTTCTCACTAGAACATGGACTCTGCTGTCATCTATGGGGCCTGTGGCTAGTACCAGTGTGCTTCTCTTCCCAAGCATGTAGAGGCTCTCTGTCTACCTCTTCCCTGAACTCCAGACCATGCATGACCCCATCACCACTGACCACTCATTAGAATTACACACCATGACCCTGTGACCACTGATCACTCATTAGAACTCCAGACCATGGCCAGTGGTGATGCATGCCTTTAATCCCAGCACTCAGGAGGCAGAGGCAGGCATGTTTCTGTGAGCTTGAGGCCAGCCTGGTCTACAGAGGGATTTCTAGAACAGCCAGGGTTACACAGAGAAACCCTGACTGGAGAAGAAAAGAAAAGTCTTTCTATACCCACTTTATGCAATGCTAGGGCTGGAACTTGACATCAAGCATGCTAGGCATGAACTCTACAAACAGAGCTACATGCCCATCCCCAGCCCACTCATTCAGAGTGCTTTACTCTGAATGAGTGCTCTACTCTCCTCGGTTTTTATGTGGTTCAGGGCCTCACTCTGCTACACAAGTGCTAGACTAATGAGCTACAGCTTAGAATAGGAAAACTTTTCTTTTAGTTAACTAAATTAATTATTTTAACTTTAGGGCTTTAGATTTTGTTTTTTGTTTTTCGGGACAGGGTTTCTCTGTAACTCTGGAGCCTGTCCTGGAACTCACTCTGTAGACCAGGCTGGTCTCGAGCTCACAGAGATCCCCTGACTCTACCTCCCAAGTGTTGGGATTAAACGTATGTGCCAGCATCCTTTAAAAAAAAAAAAATCTGTAATCTTGGCACCTAAAAGACATAGGCAAGGGGATCAGAAATTCAAATTTAGCTTTACATTCTAAAAGGGAACTGAAGGCTGGCTTGGAATGTGTGGGGGGGGAGGAGAGAGGGGGGAGAGAGAGAGAGAGAGAGAGAGAGAGAGAGAGAACACAACTAAATGATAATACCCTGGCTGGTAATTTTTACTGGGCTCTATATTCAGGGCCTCTGAAGTTTGCTTAGACCATATGGCTTGAGGCTCAGCCCTTGCCTAGGGCTTCAACCTTTTGGTTCTCTCCCAGATTGCTGACCCTGGGGCTGTCCCTCCTACATGCTGATGTGGTTCCAAATGCAACCATTCGAAACGTGCTTCGAGAGAAGATCTACTCAACAGCCTTTGACTATTTCAGGTATTACCTCAAGCTGTGTTGTGCACATGCCCAGATATAGCTGCAACCCAGCTTATAGCACTCTCATTCCCCAGGAAGTTACTTATATAAGGACATAGTTTGCTTGGCTCCTGCTGGAAGCATGACTAGACTGGAATATCCTCAGCCATGAGTACTCAGAGCCGGTGCCCAGTGAAATACCTGCAGATTGTCCCTTGAGTTTAATTAATTTAAGAGATTGGGGTCAGGGGCTCACAGGGCCCCAGTCCTGAGGCTCTACAGGTAGTTAATGGTTCCTGGAAGACACAGAGATATTTTCTTTAGTGGTTTTGTAACTAATTAGTTGCCCATGTTGCTGTAATGATCTCTTACCCCAGCTTCTCCAACCCTAACTAAACTCACTGTGCTAAAACAAAAGATTTAAAGGTAGAAAAGCAAGAGCAAAGAGCAAACCTGGAGAGATGGCTCAGTAGTTAAGAACACTTGCTACTTTCCCAGAGGTTCTGAGTTCCGTTCCCACCAGCCATTTCAGGTGACACAGCAATCTCTAACTCTGGTCTAATTTTTATTTGTCTAAATTAAGAGCATCCAAACACAGTAGCATATACCTGCAGTCCAGCTATTTGTGAAGCTGAATGCCAGAGGAGCACTTGAGAACAGAATTTGAGAACAGCTTCTATAATATATTAAGACTGCTATATCAAGCCGGGCTTTGGTGGCGCACGCCTTTAATCCCAGCACTCGGGAGGCAGAGGCAGGCGGATCTCTGTGAGTTCGAGACCAGCCTGGTCTACAAGAGCTAGTTCCAGGACAGCCTCCAAAGCCACAGAGAAACCCTGTCTCAAAAAAAAAAAAAAAGACTACTATATCAAAGACAAAACCATGAATGACCCACACCCACACATATACAGACAGCACTAACTGAATTCAGTGGGTAATAGAAAGGGGAAGGGAGAGTTAGGTGTGCTCACCTGATCTATGTAGCATGCTCCAAGGCTACACAGAGAGAGATCTTGTTTAAAAACAAGGGGCAAATAGTTGATGCTGGGAAGGAGATTGTTAAAGGGGCGGGATTAGAGAGGAAGGTGTACATGTGATCAAGAAACATGCCATACATGTCTGAGATTTTTCAAAGAATACAAAAGCTATAAGAATGTACTTAAACCAAGTGGTGGCGGCAGCGACAGCACACACCTTTAGTCCCAGCACTTGAGGCAAAGGCAGGCAGATCTCTGAGTTTGAGGCCTACAGAGCAAGTTGTAGGAACAGAGAAACCCTATAAAAGAAAGGGAGGTTAATGCATACATTTACTTTTCCTGGTAATGTAAATGATTGTTACAAAAATCCTACAGATATCAGCTGTATGAGTCTTTGCAAATATAGGCTGTGTGGTTGTGTGAAGACAGCTAAATTACCATCTGCCACAGCATGCTACTCACCAGAAGCTGTCAATATGAACCAGGTATGGTAGTGCAGGACTACATTCTGATTGATCTAGAAGCTGTGAGGCAGGAAGTCATGATCAAGGCCACCTTGCAATGTGTAGGAATAGAGAGAGAGTTACAGGCAGTCTGCACTATGCAATGCCACCTTGGTGATAAAGCTGAACAGCATGCATAGGGTGGTGACAGGCAGACAGGCCTGGGCTATCAGGACAGCCACACTTCCCACGGAAGCTGTGGGTTAGCTCCAGGCTAACCTCCAAAGAAGAGAGAGTGAACTCTGACATCAGTTCTCACTGCCTTGTGACGCTTTCCAATCTTTTTCCCTCTCGTGATTGTCTGCAGTTGTCCACCAAAGTTCCCTACTCAAGGAGAAAAGAGGCTGCGTGAAGATATAAGCATAATGATTAAATTTTGGACTGCCATGTTTTCAGATAAGAAGTATCTAACTGCCAGCCAGCTTGTTCCTCCAGGTAAGCATTGCCCTAGGTAGCATAGCAGCTGCTGCATATGGAGTGCAGACAGGGGTGCACAGCAGGGGAGGGGTGGAGAGAGACAGTGGTGCACAGCAGGGGAGGGGTGGAGAGAGACAGGGGTGCACGGGAGGGGAGGGGTGGAGAGAGACAGGGGTGCATGGGAGAGGAGGGGTGGAGAGAGACAGGAGGGCTTGGGAGGGGAGCGGGGAGTGCAGACAGGAGTGTACCGGAGGGATTGGGTGTTCCGTGAGTTGTTCCAGAAAGGCCAGACAAGAACAATTAGGGCCCAAGTGAGCCCTGATCTTGACTGTGCCTTATATTGTTGAAAAACCATTAATTGTCTGCCTGCTGCCTTTCCTCCAACCCTTGCTGATGCATATGGCAAGTGCAGGACACTCTTCCTTAGAACTTCGCCCCAGACAGGCTCACTTCCCAGATGCCCACGGAGTAGGGGAAGGCCAATATACCTAGATGAATTCATCCCAATCCATTGTCGTATGATAAGGGCAGTCAAATATCCTCGAGGGGCACCCCTGCAGGTCAGGCACATGGCCCAATCAGGTTAGATTGGAGACAGTGACCTCTGAGCTCAGTCTAGAAGGAAGCAGAAATGTATGTATGTGGGTATGTACATACATATACATAGCATGCATGTGTGAATACACACATACATACATGAAGCCAGAGTATACTGGAACAAATAACTTTCCAGGACAAAGAAGAGAGCACTCTATTCTTCCAGAGGACCCAGCTTCAATCCTTAGCACCCATATGGTGGCTCACAAATATCTGTAACAGAAGATACCACACAATTCTCTGTCCTCCATACATACACACACAAAAAATATTTTTTTAAAAACAGTACTTATTTTATTCTATTTTGATTTTTCGAGACAGGGATTCTCTGTGTAGTCATGGCTGTCCTACAACTCACTCTGTAGACCAGGCTGGCCTCAAACTCACAGAGATCTGCCTGCCTCTGCCTCCTGAATTGGGATTAAAGACATGTGATGCCATGCCTGGCTCTGATTTCTTTCTTTTTTTTCTGGACAAAGTCTTTCACTGGCCTGGAACTTGCTGGGTTGGCTAGACACCGAGCCAGCTCTGTCTCCATCTATCTAGCATCAGGACTATGAAAATGCTCCACCACACCCAAGTTATCCAATGTAGGTTCTAGGGAAGTCAACCTTGGTATCTGTGCGTGCTGAGCAAGGCTTGCCAAACTCTCTGCCCTTGGTGCCTTGTCTTGAGCCACCTCTTCCCAGAGTCTGTAATGTGTTTGCCCACAGATAACCAAGACACCCGGAGCAACCTGGATATAACTGTGGGCTCTCGACAACAGGCTACACAGGGCTGGATCAACACTTATCCCCTCTCCAGTGGCATGTCTACCATCTCCAAAAAGTCAGGTTGGTCAGGGTAGGGGGTGGCTCCTACATCTTCTCTGCAGTCTTGAGTTCCCATCCTGGTGGTATGATGGACACTCACTCAGATAGCAGAATAGAATATTAAAAGGCAACTTCTTCTAGACTCTAAAACATGGCCAAGGTTTTGGTTCAGTCATCACCACACCAGGGCAGATAAGTGGCCTCAAAGGACAATGACCATGTTTGTCTTTGTCCCTAGGCATGTCTAAGAAAACCAACCGGGGTTCCCAGCTTCACAAGTACTACATGAAACGCAGGACGCTACTGTTGTCACTGTTGGTAAGACCCATGGCCACAGCCACTTCCCACTGTGTAATGGTGCAGCACCTCCCTGGTGTGGGAGTAGCATGTGGACACCTGCAGAAAATACATTGGGCATTGTTTGGTCTCACCAGGCCACTGAAATCGAGCGCCTCATCACTTGGTACAACCCGCTGTCAGCCCCAGAACTAGAGCTGGACCAGGCAGGAGAGAGCAGTGTGGCCAATTGGAGGTCCAAGTACATCAGCCTGAGTGAGAAGCAATGGAAGGACAATGTGAACCTTGCCTGGAGCATCTCCCCCTACCTCGCTGTGCAGCTGCCAGCCAGGTAGGCCTCTTAGTCACCCCAGCTTCACCAGAGGTCCAAGGCAGTAACCTGCCTACCATGAAAGATAATGTGGCTCCTGTCCAGAACACGCAGGATTCTCATCTAGTCTTTACAGAGGTTGTACAGTGACCCTTGTAATCTTGTCTGCTCCTACCTGGGTGCCATAACACCCAGATCCAAGGAAAGTAATATCTGGATGAATTCAGAGCACAAGTATGACTAGGGGCTGCGCTCAGTGGTAGAACTCCGAGCTAATTTGGATTTGAATAATGCCATCTTTGAGCTCAAGCTGAGAGTTAGACACTCTTGCTGTGGCTGTTTGCCTAGTGTACCATCAGCTCTCTCAAGGCGAGAATCTCAGACAGAAATAAAACCTTTAGACTGAACAGTAGGTGAGATGAGCTGCAGAGGCCCCATGGCCTTCATGGTCCCTTGGCCTTCTTCCCTACAGCCAGGGATAGATGTTTATGATGGGAGCCAAGCTTGGCACTTTCCTGTTTCATCTATCTGGCCATCAGGCCCAGACAACACACTGGTTCTAAGTCCTTCCAAATCAGAGTGTTCATGGGGACTGCCCCTTGCCTTACCTGTCAGTGACACCTACAGGCTTATGTCTGCCCTCTCACTACCAGGTAGGGGCCTTAAGGGCGTAGACTGTGAGGTGAGATACTGAATCAGAGAGAGTGCAGAAGGCTAGGCAGAGTAGTGAGAAGGATGGATGGCTATATACGGTAGGGTAGTTCTGAAGAAAGGTCTGCCGTCCCCACATAGCAATCTAGTAATGCTGCAAGTTTTCTTTTTTTTTCCTTCCCTTTTGTTTTTGGTTTGTTTTTGGTTTTTTGTTTTGTTTTGTTTTGGTTTTTTGTTTTTTTTTTGCTTTGGAGGAATTTTTTTTAGTCTCTCTCTCTCTCTCTCTCTCTCTCTCTCTCTCTCTCCCGCTCTCCCCCTCTCCCCCCCCCCCGTGTGTGTGTGTGTGTGTGTGTGTGTGTGTGTGTGTGTATAGATTGGGAGCCAACTTGCTAGAGTTGGTTCTCTTTCTACCATGTGGGACTAGGAAGGGAACTTAGGTTATCAAGGTTGGCATCAACCTTTGTCCACTAAGCCATCTTACATAGAAAATGTAACCAGGGTTGCCTCAAATTGTGGCATTCATCTTGTCACCTCTTTGTGAATGCTGTAATGATGTAAGTTTTCAAAGGGTCCTTTTCAGACTTTGTAATGTATTACTTACCTACAACATTTAATTATCTATTATGTAGTGTTGATCTAAATCCCTCCAGCTAAGTGTTTCTCTCTAGCTCTTCTGTGGCAGTGAAGGAATGTACCTGCAGGTGAGGCTACCCCACCCAAATTCTCTGTGCACTGTAGGTTCAAAAACACAGAAGCCATTGGAAATGAAGTGACCCGTCTCGTTCGGTTGGACCCAGGAGCTGTTAGTGATGTCCCTGAAGCCATCAAGGTAGTACAGCCCACACACACCAGCTCAAGTTCAAACTACATCTAGAATGTCTTCCAGAAAGGCCTGGAAAGGGTTATATTGATCAGTGTCAGAGGACCCAGCCTCATATGGTTGAGCAGAACATCATGGCAGCAGGACCATGTGCAGGAGGCTGTTCACATCCTGGGATATGGACAGAGAGCAAGAGAATACAGGAAATGATCCAGGCAGAGTACAGCATCCAAACACATGGCTCCAGTGACTGATCTCCTCCACCAGGCCCTATGTACTTTTCACTACCTCAAAATAATACCATCATATTATGAATCCATCAAAAGATTAAGTTGGGCAGTGGTGGTGCATGCCTTTAGGCCCAGTGCTTGGGGGGCAGACGCAGGCGGATCTCTGTGAGTTCGAGGGAAGACTGGTCTACAGAACTAGTTCCAGGACAGCCAGGTCTACACACAGAGAAACCTTGTCTTGGGGAGGGGGCAGTTTATCTATTCATCTGTTCATCAGGTCAGAGACCTCAGGATCCAGTCCTCTGTGGACCTCACAGACAAACTGAATGGTGTATTTTATTAATCTAGACATTTCTCAAACCATTTCAGTTAGTATTAACTGTCACTCCATCACTGCTGGGCCTGGTCACCAGTACAGGTCTGTAATCCCCGATACTTGGGAGACTGAAGCAGAAGGATCAAAGTTCACGGCCTGCCTGGTCCACAGAGTGGAACTGTGTCTCAGGTAAAAGAAATAAAAAGTAGAGCTAGAGAATTGGCACAGTGGTTGAGCACTCTTCAGAGGGCCTGGGTTCAATTCCCAGCACCCACATGGCAGCTCACACCTGTCTGTGCCTCCTGTCCCAGGGGATCCAGCCCTGTTCTGTTCCATACAGGCAGTGCACACACACAGTGCAGACATACACTTAGGCAAACACTCATACACATAAAAATAAAATCTTGGCCAGGTGGTGATGGTGCATGACTTTAATCCCAGCACTTGGGAGGCAGAGGCAGGTACAGTATGAGACCAGCCTGGTTTACAGAGTGAGTTACAGGGAAACCAGGGCTACACAGAGGAACCCTGTCGCAAAAAAAAACAAAAATAGGGGCTGGAGAGATGGCTCCGAGGTTAAGAGAACCAACTGCTCTTCCAAAGGTCAATTCCCAGCAACCACATGTTGGCTCACAACCACCCGTAATGAGATCTGGTTCCCTCTTCTGGTGTGCAGATATACATGGAAGCAGAATGTTGTATACATAATAAATAAATAGAATCTTTAAAAAATAAAATAAATAGAATCTGAAAACTAAGTGTTAAGTTAAAGATGACTGCAGGTAAAGTGGTAAAGCAGTGGAGCTTCTGTGAGTCTTGGATTCAATCTCTGCACTACCAGATAAAACGATATCGATGCTGGGTGTGGTGATACACTCCTTTTTTAATACCAGCAGTCATAAGGCAGAGGCAAGTAGCCTGGGCTGTGGAGTGAGACTCTGTCTCTGAAACAAAATTATTATTCTATCACACCAGACAGAAAGTTACTGGGTAACCTCAGTGGTAGAATTGTCTTAACTCCCTGCATTTTCTGCTCCAAGCATATAATAAGTATTGTGTTTATGAAAGAAAATATTTCATCTGTTTAAATTCTGTTTATAGATGGGTTTTCATATGTCTCACACTAACCTCAGGTTCACTTTATAGCTAAAGCTGTCCTTGAATTTCTGATCCTCCATTTTCCACCTGCCATGTGCTAAGATTACAGGTGTGTACAACCACAACTGGCTTTATGCAGTGCTGAGGACCAGTGTGTACTAGCCAGGAACACACACTACCCATTGAGCTACATTCCCAGCCCCTCAACTTGGATTTCTTACAATTATGCTACTTCATGTAGCATGTCAGAAACATCAATCATTTTATCTATCATAAATGGTTTTTTTACTGTCACTTTTTTTTTCTTTTTTTGGCCTAGAGCTTGCTATGTATGTAGACCAGGCTGGCCTCAAACTCACAGAGATCTACTTACCTTTACCTCTTGCATGCTAGGATTGAAGACGTGCATTACCACACCCAGCCTATTTCCCTTTGCTATGGCCACTCTTGAGTAGGCCATGACTGAAAGGACTGTTTCCCGACTTTTTCCCCAGTTCCTTGTCACCTGGCACACCATCGATGCTGACGCTCCGGAGCTCAGCCATGTTCTATGTTGGGCACCCACGGACCCACCCACAGGCCTCTCCTACTTCTCCAGCATGTACCCACCACACCCTCTTACTGCACAGTATGGAGTGAAAGTCCTGCGGTCCTTCCCTCCGGTGAGTTAGAGCCCTGCAGAGCCAGCCTAGGGTGGAGCTGTCTCTGTGTGGCTAAGTGGGTAGATGTAAGACAGTGCAGCCTGGGATGCAACCAACTGTGTGGGTTCATCTAGAGTATGTCTTTCTTACTAACTCCAATAGTTGCAGAAGATTAATTTGGGCTATGGTGGCACACGCCTTTAAAATCAACACCAGGGAAGCAGAAGCAGGTGGATATCTGGGTTCTAGGTCAGCTAGGGCTACACAGTGAGACCTTTCTCAAAAATAAAGAAAGAATTTAGTTGCAATTCATGTGTTTTCTAGGGTTTTTTAAAGATTTTATTTATTTACTATGTATACAACATTCTGCTTCCATGTATATCTGCACATCAGAAGAAGGCACCAGATCTCATAATGGATGGTTGTGAGCCACCATGTGGTTGCTGGGAATTGAACTCAGGACCTCTGGAAGAGCAGTCAGTGCTCCTAACATCTGAGCCATCTCTCCAGCCCCCATGTATTTTCTAGTTTTTAGCTTTGTTTAAGCTTTAATTGGATCTTTTGATTAAAGAGAAAGTTTACTTGAGTGTGGTCCCTGCCATGAAAGGTAAGCAGTGTACCCATGCCTCTTACCCCAGCAGCAAACTCCTGGAAATTCTATGTGGCAGCCATGATGGAGGGTCTATAGCAGGGGAAGGTCTGTAGAATGTTCTAGAGCTCTGCTTGCTATAGCTTCATCACCAGAAAGTCTGTAGTAACTTTCAGCCCATTTATCTGGGGCAGGCTCCTCTCCTTATAGGTGAGGTCCTATCCTGCATGTTTGTTTTCACCAAACAATGTGTTACAAAGCCTTGGCTATGTTTCTTGTTATCCTCTGCACCTTCCCCAGTTCTCCAGCAGGAGGCAGCATCCCATGTGCACATCCAGCGCTTATTACTGTTTTAACTGTTAACTCTGAAGTCACAGTCCTTCCTCCTTCTACAGGATGCCATTCTGTTCTACATCCCCCAGATTGTGCAGGCCCTCAGATATGACAAGGTACGTATTGGCACAGCCTTCCTTCCACTTCCTCTGAGAGCTGTGCATATTGCTGCCCTTAGCCACTAGTCCCCAGCTCAAACTGGTTTCCTCTATGATCCCTCGGGAACAGGACTGTGCAGTCATAACTGAGCCCTTTGCTCTTACTGCCTCATCCTCTGCAGAGAGGGCAGGATCTGCTACGTTGTAGAGCCACGCTCTGTAGAGGGGGCGGGATTTGCTACATTGTAGAGCCAAGCTCTCCAGAGGGGACGGGATCTGCTACGTTGTCGAGCCAAACTCTGCAGAGGGTGCGGGATCTGCTACTTTGTAGAGCCAAGCTCTGCAGAGGGGACGGGTTCTACTACATTGTTCAGCCAAGCTCTGCAGAGAGGGCGGGATCTGCTACATTGTCTAGCTGTTTCCTATGGGTGGGCAGCCTGTTCTAGGATTTTTGTTGGATCAGGTCTCAGCAAATCACATGACATCCCTGAGCCTGGCTGTTGTCATAGGAAAGTGATGAGGCTTAGGTAATAAAGGATGTGTTCTAATCATGCTGCACATAAAAGTGGCAACAACCAGGTGGCTTAAACAAGACATTTGTTTTCATGTAAATTTGAAGGTCAGATGGCACTCAGGATAAAAGTGCATGCCACAGAAACCTGACCATGGAACCCAGTCCTTGATGCCATGGTGGGAAAAGAGGGCCATTTGTAGAGTTGTCTTCTGATGTCCACATGTGCACTGTGGCACTCAGGCACTCACACAAACACAAAATAGTAAATGAAATTTTTAAAAAACCAAATACATTTTACCAGCTGTGGTGGCACACACCTTTAATCCCGGAATTCAGGAGACAGAGGGAGGCAGATCTCTGAGTTCGAAGCCAGCCTGGTCTACAAAGTGAGTTCCAGGATAGCCAGTGCTACACAGAGAAACCCTGTCTTGAAAACCAAAAAATTAAAAATAAAATTCTGGATTAATTTATTCAAAGGTTACCAATGAGTTTTAAATATCATTTTAAACTTGTGGATTTGAATTAGGGAGTGGTGGCACACACCTTTAGTCCCAGAACTCGGGAGGCAGAGGCAGGCAGATCTCTTGAGTTTGAGGCCAGCCTGGTCTACAGAGTGAATTAGAAACAAAAAAGAAACTTATGAATTTGGACAACCAAGTTTGTTCTGTTGCATTTTTGTTTTTGTTTACTGATACAAGGTGTTATATAACCCAGACTGGGTTGTGAGTCAAGGCTTGCCTTAAACTCCTAGATCAGCTGTTCTTAACCTATAGGTAGAGAACCCTTTAGGGGTTAAATGATCCTTTCACAGGGGTCACCTAAGACCATCAGAAAACACAGATATTTACATTATGATTCATAACCATAGCAAAATTACAGTTGTGAGTAGCAATGGAATAATTTTAAGGTTGGGGTCAGCACAACATGAAGAACTGTGTTAAAGGTTCAGAGCATCCGGAAGCTTGAGAACCATGGGTTTAGAGGCCCTTATTTCCACCTCCACAGCTGAAATTCATGCTGAGCCTGGCCTGGTAGTCCACACCTATTGTCCCAGCACTTGGGAGACAGAGGCAGGTGAATCTCTAAGTTGGAGGCCAGCCTGGTCTACAGAGACAGTTCTAGAACAGCCAGGCTGAGCTGCATAGTGAGAACCTGGCTCTCCACTTTCCTGTTTCCTCTACTTGGCCATCAGGCCCAGGACAACACACTGGTTCCAAGTCCTTCCAAATTAGAGTGTTCATGGGGACTGTCCCTTGCCTTACCTGGGTCAGTGACACCTGCAGGCTTATGTCTGTCCTCTCACCACAAGGTGAGCTGCTGAACCAGAGAGAGGCCAGGGCAGAAGGCTAGGCAGAGTAGTGAGAAGGATGGATAGCTATATATGGTAGGGTAGTTCTGAAGAAAGGTCTGCCATCCCCTCATAGCAATACCATTATTCCTCTCTTTTCTTTTTTTAGTTTGGGAGATTTTTTTTTTGTGTGCATTTCCCATTTATGTATATGTGCTCATATCCATGCGTGGACACAAGCCAGTGTGTGTGTGTGTGTGTGTGTGTGTGTGTGTGTGTGTGTGTGTGTGTGTGTGTGTCTGTGTGTGTGTGTGTCTGTGTACATGTCTGTTAAGTGTGTGTTTGTACCTGGGATTGTAGTCAGGTCATCCATCAGGTTTGGCAACAAATGCCTTTACCTGCTAAGCCATCTCTCCATCCCCTTCCATCTGTTGGTGTTTTGTTTCTTTGTTTCTTTGTTTGTTTTTATCAGCTCTCACTCTGCAGCCCAGGGTGGCCTCAAATGTGCCTTACAAGTGCTGAGGTTACAGATGTGAGCTATTACCGCTATTTCAGCTTACTTTTTTCAAGTTTTTTTTTTAAGATTTTATTTATTTATTATGTATACAACATTCTGCTTCCATGTATATCTGCACACCAGAAGAGGGCACCAGATCTCATAACAGATGGTTGTGAGCCACCATGTGGTTGCTGGGAATTGAACTCAGGACCTCTGGAAGAGCAGTTGGTGCTCTTAACCTCTGAGCCATCTCTCCAGCCCCCTCAAGTTTTATTTTTATTATTGTTCTTTTCAATCATGTGTATGTATGTGTTCAGGTACTTGTGGAGTACATAGATTTTAGATCCCCTAGACCTGGAGTTGCAGGCAGTTGTGAGCAGCCTGGTGTGATTCTAAGAGCTGTACTCCAGTCCTTTCCAAGTGCACAAATGTTCTTATCTGATGAACCATCTCTCCAGTTCCAGATCACTCTTAACCTAAGACACAGTCATTAAAGCTAGAATTACTAGGAACATGGAGGTGACTTAGTAAAACAAGGATCTGAATTCAAATCCTGGAATCCATGTAGACCTAGAGCTGGGATGCAGAAGTGAGAGGCTCCCTGAGACCAGCCAGCTGGTCTAGCCAAATCGGCAAGCTTCCAGTTTGGTAAGAGACCATTATTTGCAACATTAAGGTGGAAAGTGATGGAGAAGGACCCCAGTGTTGACCTTTGACCTCCCCATACAACTACATGCATGCATACATGCCCATGCATACACATACCAAAGAGAGAGAAGGAACAAAACAAAAGAACAGGAGCTACCAGATAATGGTAGGAAAACTGAGATGGAAAAAGAGAAGCGGTCCGTAAGATGGTAACCATCAATGTGCTGGCGCCATGCTCCTCTGGACACCCTCAGAGCTTCCTGGATCCTGTCACTGTACAGTGACATTCTGTACAACCTTACAAACCAGTCATGGTTCTTAAATACCAAGGGGACCACACAGGACACCAGGCCTGCATTGTGGACTTCATGCCCTGAGCCCTAGCCATGTAGGGCCAGGCCAGTGCTACACTGCGCACTGACCCTGACAGGTACATCCACATTGCTGGGAACCACACAGCCAGGACATGGGGTTACCTCTTATCCTAGGTTAGGAAGACTTTCTTCCAGGTGTAAAGGCTGACTGTGGCCTCACCCTCCTACAGATGGGCTATGTGCGTGAGTACATTCTCTGGGCGGCAGCCAAGTCCCAGCTTCTGGCACACCAGTTTATCTGGAATATGAAAACTAACATCTACCTCGATGAAGAAGGGCACCAGAAAGACCGTGAGTACTTTGGCCTCTCAGGCCTCTCCCCATCGCCATCCCCTTTAGAGCCTACACAGGGCTTCTGCTTTCTCAGAGGCCCTCTGTGTGTGTGCTACCCCAGACTGGAGACTCCCCATGTCCTGTCATTTCATGGCATTTGCAGCTGCCTGTCCTGTCAGAGTCTGTGTCTAGCACAGCCTGGAACTCAGGGGCAGCAGTTCTCAAACAGAGTAACCCGTAAGCTGTTCACACTTACGGGTTACTTTGTCTTTGGTTTACTTGCTCACTTGCTTATCTGTGACAGGGCTTTGCTGTGTACCCTAGAACTTACTCTGGTTCCCGGGCCTCTATTCCCATACCTGGCTAAGGAGATAAAGGCACTTGCCATGAGACCTGCACAATGAGTTTAATTCCTGGAACACAAATGGTGGAAGGAGAGAACAGACTCCTGCAAGTTGTCCTCTGGCCCCCACATGTGTGACATAGTGTGTGTACATCCACACACAAAAATAAATAAATAAAAAGTAAAGAGCTGGACATGGTGGCACACCTTTTAATTGCAACATTTGGGAGACAGGCAGGTGAATCTCAGTGAGTTCACGGCCAGCCTGGTCTAAGAAGCAAGTTCAGACCAGGTAAGGCTACACAAAGACCTGTCTCAAAACGAAATGTTCTATATCCCCCACTTACACCACCATAGGAACCTGAGCATCATCAACCAGCATTGCCCCCTCTCATTGGACCATAATTTGATTATTGTTGTCCACTGTAATTTCAAATATCTTTATAGTTAGGCTGGGCAGTGGTGGTGTACGCCTTTAATCCCAGCACTCAGGAGGCAGAGGCAGGCAGATCTCTGTGAGTTCGAGGCCAGCCTGGTCTACAAGAGCTAGTTCCAGGACAGGCTCCAAAGCTACACAGAGAAACCCTGTCTCGAGAGAAAAAGAAAAAAAAAAGCTGGGTGTGGTAACACATGCCAACATTTGGGGGGCAGAAGCAGGAAGATCTAGCCTCAACTACATGAAACCCTGCCTTTTAAGGCCCTTCTGTAGTTGGGATGCATCAAAGTTGATAGAATGTCTGCCTAGCATGCACAAAGCCTTAGGTTCGATGCTCAATCCCACCTATGCCAGATGTGGTGGTGCACACCTGTAATGCCGGTGCTTAGGCACATCTTCAAGGTCAGCTGGGGATTCCTGCAACCCTAACTCCAAGAAGCCAGGTGTGCATGTGCCCATGATCCTCCCATTTGGGAGTTGGAAGTGGAATAACGGAAGTTTCAAGCTTCTCCATGCTGTGTAGCATGTAGTCCAGTCTGGACTCCATGAGACCATAGTTGTTGTTGCTGTTTTTTTAAAAGGAAAGAAAAATATAAATTAAAAAAGTAAAATAGGAAACCATGAAGCCAGACATGGGGCCATGTACATGTAATCACAGCATTCTCACTCAGGAGGCAGAAGCAGGAAGACCAAACTCCAACCTCAGCTCCACCCTAGGAAAATGAGACCCTGTCTCAAATACATCAATAGATAATCAATCCATCTAGATGACCCAGTGGGTAAAGCCATTAAACCTGACATATATTTCATTCCCAGGTGGAAGGAGAAAGCCAGCTCCTCCAAACTGTCCTCTGACCTCCACACAGTGCCATGGCCTGTGTGCACCCCTATATGTGTAATGACACCAGGAGTGGCACAGGGATTTGCATTCCCTGAGCTAGGAATGCTGAGATACACAGGTCCTCAGGGCTGCTAGCCAGCCCAGATTCTTCACCACACCTTAAGAAACCAAAATGGACAAGGCTGAGGTTGACCTGTGGCCTCCATGTACACACATACACAGCCCACATACAAAGGAACATCTCTCAGACAGCCAGGTGCTTCTGGGAACCGTGGGGTCTTCACATGTGCCAGCCCTGAGTACACATTCTGTTTGCTCACACACAATGGTGAAAAGGCATGTTTTCAGAGTAGAATTAATAAAGCTGGAACCAGATGTGGTGCATGCCTGTAATGCCAGCACCCGGTGCTAGGACAAGAGACTCATAACTTCCTGAGCAGCTTGAGCACTGTAGCTAGACCCTGTCTAAAAACAAAAGCAAGTAATTCAGGCTGGGCAAGTGTCCTAGTTGGTGCAATGCTTGCTCAGAGTGCATAAAGCCCATAGTTAAATCTCCAGCACCAAGTTAAGAGTAGAGGCACTCATGTAAACAGCGCTTGAGAAGTAGAGGCACAAGGGTCGCAAGTTCAGGGCCACCCTGGGCTACTTTTGTCCCTATTTCAAAACAAACAATTATATTGCTTCACCTGGGACTTAGGTAACTGGTCATATAGGCCCTGCTTGGAACTTTGCCCAGGGTCTAGCAATTTTACCCACCAGCATGGCCAATGTCACCAGAGAGGGCAAACAATGGCGTGTTATGGGCTTCATCAGACTGGCAGAGTGCATTCCACATGCAGGCAGGGTCCTGGGAGACCTCTAGCTGATTGTGTAGCAAACATCTTTAGGATTTAAGGGCTTTTTGTTGGGTTGGTTTGGTATGGTTTTTCAAGACAGGGTTTCTCTGTCCTGGAACTCACTTTGTAGACCAGGCTAGCCTCAAAATTAGAGGTTCACCTGAGTGTTGGCTGGTATGGGCCACCACTGCTTACCGGAGCATTTTCTTTTAAGGGTCTCTGTGGCAGCCCATAAAACTCACCATTTTTGTCTCCTCAGCTGACATTGGTGACCTTCTGGAGCAGTTAGTAGAAGAGATCACAGGGTCCCTATCAGGTCCAGCTAAAGATTTCTATCAACGGGAATTTGATTTCTTTAACAAGATCACCAACGTGTCAGCCATCATCAAGTAAGTGGCTGCCCTGAGAGACAGATGTCTTGTCTTCATCCCCCCAGTTCCCATCTGTGGTAGCCTGGGCTCTTCTGCACTCTTGTGGCTTTTGGGGTATGGCCTATTAGCATGGGACAAGGCAGAGCATCGTTGGCATTTGACATTTGCCCAAGGTGACCTGGGCACAGCTCTTCCCAGCTTCTTCCAGTCCCTAACCTGCCCTCAGTATACATGCAGGCTGCTCCTGCCGCCTTCACTGAGGGTCCTCACCATGTTTCCAGGGGCTCTGATCACACACAAAGGTAGGGAAGTATGTCCCATAGCCCCCTGCAAGGCCCCAGTGACCTAAAACTCCTCTCCAGAGAATAAGAGGGGGTTGAGACAGGGTCTCTCTATAGTCCTGACTGTCCTAGAACTTGCCATGTAGACCAGGCTGGCCTTAAATTCAGAGATCTGCCTCCTGGGTGCTGGAACTACAGGCATGTACCACCATGCCGGTCCTCACTGGGGAGTTGAAGGTGAGGCCCTGTCCTTAGCATCTGAGCCTTTGGGGAACACTCCCAGATTCAACTCAGACATCATGACATGACAACAAAGGTGCAGTTAACCTTGGCTTCACCTTAGCTGAGCCAGGTCGAAGGGGCTTACCAGTGAAGGTCATACAGTAAGTTATAGAAATAACCTTTACCCAGAACTGGGTCAGGCCCCACAGTCCCTGTTCTCTCAGTACCTCAACAGCATCTCACACACCATCAAATGTGCAGGCAGAGGTATCAAGAAATAGCTCCATGCCGGGTGTTGGTGGTGCACGCCTTTAATTCCAGCACTCAGGAGGCAGAGGCAGGTGGATCTCTGTGAGTTCAAGGCCAGCGTGGTCTCCGGAGCGAGTGCTAGGATAGGCTCCAAAGCTACATAGAGAAACTCTGTCTCAAAAAACCAAAAAAAAAAAAAAAAAAAAAAAAAAAAAAAAAAAAAGAAATAGCTCCACTTCTGCCCCTACCACCTTCTGGGGCCATCTGGCTTCTCTGAGGAATGTGTCACTTTGAGTGGTTTCCTGAGTTCTCTGTCCCTGGAAGCCAGTTTCTACAGGACAGAGCAGAGCCTTGTGTGCTAGACAGATTTGGTAGCCCAAGCTGACCTCAGACTCACTAGGTAACAGAAGATGCTGTAAGCTCCGGAGCCTTAGCCCCACATCTGAGAGCTGCCGTTACAGTTCTGCGCCACTGTGCATCTCTATCTTGTTTCTCAGGCCCTTCCCTAAAGGTGATGAAAGAAAGAAGGCGTGTCTGTCAGCTCTGTCTGAAGTGAAGGTGCAGCCTGGTAAGCCAGCAGCCTCGGGGCAAGAGGGAGCTGCTGTCCTGGTGTGTGTGTGTGGTGGTGTGTGGTCCCCCCCACACACACACCCTTCCGTGCAGCTGGTGTGGAAACAGGGCTTCATCAGCCACATCACACACTTAGGGCCTCCAGCATCCCACACCTGAGGGATGAACTTCCTTTTGTCTGCTTACTGGACATACTTATTGTCTCAGTCAGGGTTTCTATTGCTGTGAAGAGACACCATGACCACAGCAACTCTTAGAAAGAAAACATGTAATTAGGTCTGTAATTACAGTTCAGAGGTTTTTGTCCTTACAGTGGGAAGCATGGTGGCATGCAGGCAGACATGGTGCTGGAGAGGTGGCTGAGAGTTCTACATATTGATCCACGGGCAGCAGGAAGAAAACTATCAGCCACTAGGCCTGGCTTGAGCTGAGACCTCAAATCCCATCCCACAGTGACACACTTCCTCCTAACAGTGCCATTATGACCAAGCATTCACACACTTGAGTCTCTGGGACTCATTCCTATTCAGACCACCACATGAGAAATGGGAGCAACTAACCATGCACGGAACACAAAGATGGAGGAGTGTATTGAGAGCAGACCAGTGCAGCCAGGTTGGGAGTCTCCATTGAGAGTGTAGCAAACCCAAAACTTGCCCAGGCAGCAGCAGGGTAGTTGCCACAAAGCTAAGGTCTAGCACACCCGGCAGGCTGGGGTTCTTTTGCTGGCTGTCTGGATGGGTCATGAAGGGTCTGAGTCAGGAAGGACAGACCCACAGTGAGGACAGAATGAGTCTGCCTGGGAAGCCTGTGGTGAGGACTGCTGTGGCTCCCTGTGGTGACATGTAGCTCCCTTTTGTACCTGCCCAGGCTGCTACTTGCCCAGCAACCCTGAAGCAATCGTGCTAGACATTGACTACAAGTCAGGGACACCAATGCAGAGGTGAGTGCCTGTCCCACACTCTTGTGCCTCACTCGGGAGTCTTCTAGCTGTCTCATGTGCTACATTCTCTTTTCAGTGCCGCAAAAGCGCCGTATCTAGCCAAGTTTAAGGTGAAGCGATGTGGAGTGAGCGAACTTGAAAAAGAAGGTCAGTCAGGAGCTCCTTGCAGTATAGATGTCTCTCCTCACTAGTGCTGGTTTACTACGAGCAACCTGTAAAAGATGTTTGCCATGCATCTGCCTGCGGGCACACCCTCCCTCTGCTCTGCAGTAGCCCTTGCTCACCCTAGAATCTGTCACCCGAGTCACTGGGACCCGGCTCACTGAGCCTTTGTGGGGCTCACTGGTTATGTCAGGCTCTGTACAGAGGAGCGTAGTCTGAGTGGCACACAGACAAGCGTGCAGTCTCACAGATCTGGAAGCTGACATCACTAGGCATGCTCCAGTGAGGGGAGAGTCAGGCTGTGGTCACGCAGGAATCAAGTTTTGGCCTGGGTGTTCTCTGGCTCTTCCCTCCTGTGACTGTAGGTGATACTACTTAGTATCACTCCATCTCTGCCTGTCTGGAGTGGCCTTGTGTGGCCTTACAAATCTCTTTTAAAGGGGCACTTGGAGAGATGGCTCTTCCAGAGGTCCTGAATTCAATTCCCAGCAACCACATGGTGGCTCACAACCATCTGTTATGAGATCTGGTGCCCTCTACTGGTGGGCAGACATACATAGAAGCAGAATGTTGTATACATAATTAAAAAAAAAAAAAAATGTAGCTCTCAGTTCTAAGATTGGGGTGGTTATTGTTTTGACATCAGGGCAAAGGGGTTTTGTTCTCTTGCTTGGGCATGGATTCCTTTAAACCATCATGACTTGACCGTTCATTCTTATTTTGAGACGTTTGTCTTTACAACAAAGTTGAGGTTATGTTCTAGTGTACCCTATAAAAAACTCTGGTTATTTTCCTTTTGTATTTAGAAAGCACTGTCATTCTGGGTTAAAGCTGAAGTTTTATCCAGTTATTGATGGTCTGTTTGTATTATCTTATTAAATCAGATTTTAGTAATGGGTTTCTTAAAAGTAAGAGGGTTCTAGTTTTTTTTGGTTTTTCGAGACAGGGTTTCTCTGTGTAGCTTTGGAGCCTATCCTGGCACTCACTCTGGAGACCAGGCTGACCTCGAACTCACAGTGATCCACCTGCCTCTGCCTCCTGAGTGCTGGATTAAAGGCATGCGCCACCAACGCCCAGCCTAGTATGACTCTTTTAACATGATTGCATCTTCAAATACCTAATTCCAAATAAGATCACAGTTGTGGTTGGGGACACAGACCTATGTAGAGATATCCTCAGTGGCCTGGCTCTGTTTCGTCTTGGCTCCCCAGGGGGCTCTGTTTCATACAAATTGTAAATTTGGGTGTTCCTGGCCCTGTGATTTCTGCTGATAACCCATGATGTTTCTTGGAACCTCTGAATGCTTTGCAGAGGTGATCTCAAGATCCCCATTCTTTCTCAGACCCTGAGGCTAACAGACAGTACCCCTCCCCCACCCCAGGTCTGCAGTGCCGCTCCGATGCTGAGGACGAGTGTCGAGGGCAGGAGGCTGATGGCAAGAAGATCTGCTGGCAAGCAGCCATCTTCAAAGTGGGGGATGACTGCCGACAGGTGACAGAGCTGGCCTTACTTAGGCTGGCAGGGCAAGGCACTATCCCCTAGTAACAACAAAGAAGAGCCCCTCACAATTAGAACAAACCCAGAAACCCCTCCTTCCAGCCCCACTCACATCCTCTGGGCAATCCCGTGACAGCCCAGCCTGGGTGGGCCATGAGGCCAGACCTTTGGACTCTCATTTGGCCACAGCCTGCCTGTCTTTACTGAGTGAACCTCGAGGGCTGCTAGTTTCCAAGTGGTCCAGAGGCTGAAGGGAGGACCCTGACTGTATCCTGTGCCTTCTCTGGTCCAGGACATGTTAGCCCTGCAGATCATCGACCTCTTCAAGAACATCTTCCAGCTGGTTGGCCTGGACCTCTTCGTTTTTCCCTACCGGGTGGTGGCTACTGCCCCTGGGGTGAGTTCCTAGAGCATGATAGGCAGAGGGATCATCACATTACTATGCCACCTAACTGTCCTTCCTTCCCTTCCTAGTGTGGAGTGATTGAGTGCATACCGGACTGCACCTCCCGAGACCAGCTGGGCCGCCAAACTGACTTTGGCATGTATGACTACTTCACACGCCAGTATGGGGATGAGTCTACCCTGGCCTTTCAGCAGGTAGCTGGCCCCAGGGCCTCCCCTCATTACCTTCTGTCTTCCTCTATTAGGAGCTAAATCAGTCCCCCATAGCTTTCTCTTAGTGTTACAGAAGCCTAGAACCCCAGGATGCAGAAAGTGCTGTTGTCTGCACACCACACAGCCGCACTCACTGCTGTGAGCTGGCTCTGCCTTCCTCTAAGCTGGGGCACAGAGCCAGGGTGAGACCACAGCCCTCTCCACACAGGCACGCTACAACTTTATCCGAAGCATGGCCGCCTACAGCCTCCTGCTGTTCCTGCTGCAGATCAAGGACAGGCACAATGGCAACATCATGCTGGACAAGAAGGGCCACATCATCCACATCGGTCAGCCAGGCTGTGCCACCCTACTCTCCCTTTTCCCACAGTGGAGCGCAAGCGTATGCACCCAAAGCCAGTGGCTATGCTACTGCAGAAATAGCCAGCCGAGCCCTAGGGAGCTGGGAATTAGAATGGCAGGCAGCTCAGACTTGGTAGACAGGAAAGCTGGTGGAATGTCTCTGCTCTAGCCTGATACAAGCCTGCTTCCTCCCCCGCTTCTGGCCCATGTGTGCCTGAGTCCTCCTCTGCTGGAAATACCCCACCCTGGTCTCGCTCCTGCCCCAGTTACAGGCAGCTTTTTGGAATTTTGCAGACTTTGGCTTCATGTTTGAGAGCTCACCGGGTGGTAACCTTGGCTGGGAACCAGACATCAAGCTGACAGATGAGATGGTGATGATTATGGGGGGCAAGATGGAAGCCACACCCTTCAAATGGTTCATGGAGATGTGTGTCCGAGGTTATCTGGCTGTGCGGTGAGCCCATGGGCAATGTGGAAGGGATATCAAGGTGTGAAAGAACAGTCATGCCCCCTGGAGGGAAACAGGCTCAATGGCACTGAAAAGGGACCCCCTCCCTTCCCCTACACACACACACACACACACACCTGCCATTCACAGCAGGCAGCCGACAGACATCTGTAACTCCAGCTCCAAGGTGCATTGCCCATTCTTGCCTCTTGCGGCACCTGCACACACACATCCACTCAAACACATGCGCACACACACACACCACAGATAATCTGTTCTTTCAAGACAGGATCTCACTATATAGTTCTGACTATGTAGATCAGGCAAGCCCTCTCTTTAATAAGGCTAGACTCACAACCAAAATGACTTTTGTTTTTCAAGACAGGGTTTCTCTGTGCAACAGCACTGGCTGTCCTAAAACTTACTTTGTAGACCAGGCCGATCTAGAACTTGGGAGGCCAGCCTCTGCCTCCTGAGTGCTGGAACTAAAGGCCATTGGTAAATCTTTAAAAAGGGAAGGGCCTTACCCTCAAGCCACCTATTCCACCTTTGTAGGCAACTTCCCACTCTGAACCACCAGCCACACCCTGCAGTCTCCCACAGGGACCTCGTCATTTACCAGCACCCTTCAGCCTTGAGCTACCCCTCTGGACTTCTTGCCCACCCTTTCACCATAGCCCTAGCACCTCCAAAGCTACATGATAGCGACTGGCATCAGCCAGATGTTCCATGGAGTATCACTTTGCCACATCCCACATGCTACTGTCGTTACCACACAGAGCATCCTTGAAACCATAGCTGAACGCCTGGCCTGCTGGGGATAAAGCTGAGCCTGCATGAGCCTGGCTCAGGGAAGCAAGCAGATTGTATGGGAAAGTGGCAGCTGGATGACAGGACTGTGAGCCAGGTCCCTGCTCAAGCTGGCTTTGTTCCCCACCCTTGCTGTCTCCACAGACCCTATATGGATGCAGTCGTCTCCCTAGTTACACTCATGTTGGACACGGGCCTGCCCTGTTTCCGAGGCCAGACCATCAAGCTTTTGAAGTAGGTGCCACTTGGGGAAGGGCTGTCCATCTGCTGAGCCCAGAAACCTTTTATGGATTCTTGGAACCCCAGAGCAGACAGGGTTCCTAGAATAGCAAGATGGCCTTGAGCTCCCCAAGTGACCTAGTAGTTGCTGGAAAGGGTCAGGGAACACATTAGGCCTCACCAGCAGAAGGGGGCCACAGCTGAGCAGATTCCCACAAATGCAGCCTTTCATCTCCCCAGACACAGGTTCAGCCCTAACATGACAGAGCGAGAGGCGGCAAATTTTATCATGAAGGTCATCCAGAGCTGTTTCCTCAGCAACAGGCAAGTCACCCAGCATTCCTGAGCCTTCCCCAGGGCAAGCAGGTGGGGAGGGCTCCCGAGATGAGGGCCTTCACTCTCTCACTTGGCCTTTCAGGAGCCGGACCTATGACATGATCCAGTACTACCAGAATGACATCCCCTACTAGGGGCAGGCAGCTCTGAAGCCTCTGGTGCCTGGAGCACCTCATACTGTTACTGCGCCTGGACATGGCACTGTGACAGGCACATGAAGCTTTGGTTCAGGAGCCTGACAAGCGTGTGGTGGTGCTGTATGCACAGGTGTGAGTGTTTGCACTGGACACATTCCCTACTTGTTCACCGTCTGACTACATAGGTACATGAAGTATTTTCTTGTATAAACATGGAAAAAAATAAAAATCCCAAAAATGTGCTGCATTTGTGTTGTTAGCTAGCCTTAATTCTGCCCTGTAGTTGAAGCTGCCCTTGAATTCCTGATCCTTCTAAGTCCCACTTAGCTTAAGGAATCTGATTTGGTTTTGGTACTAGGATCAAACCCACAGCCTATGCATGCTAGGCAAACAACACTACCCTTAGCCATGGCCCCAGCCTGTGACCTCAGGATTAATGCCTCTTCCCAACAGGCATCCTCTCCAAGGGAAGACTTCTAGGCTGACCTTTGTCTCTGTATCTCTGTAGTTCAGTAGTTAAAGTTATTGCCTGGTATGCATAAGGCCCATCCCCGGGGAGCCCCCAAAATGAACATGTCAGTCAATAGGTGGGAATGGAAGCAGAGTAGGTGTGGAAATGAAACTGAGAAAGCAAACAAAATGAACCCAAGAGTAGCTGCCCAGATCTGTAAACCTGGTCTTGCTTTTGGTTTGGTTTGGTTTGGGTTTTGTTGTTTTTCAAGACAGGGTTTCTTTCTGTAGCCCTGGCTGTCCTGGAACTCACTGTGTAGATCAGGCTGGCCTGGAACTCAGAGATCTGCCTGCCTCTGCCTCCCCAATGCTGGGATTAAAGATGTGTGCCACCACCTTGCTGCTGGCTTTGGTTTTTGTAAGATTATGTTTATGTGTGAGTGTCTGCATGTAGTTTACGCACCATGACCATACCTGGTGCTTGGGGAGGGGGTCAGAAGAGGGCATCAGATCCCCTGGAACAAGAGTTACAGGATATTGTCAGATACTGGTGTGAATACTAGAAACCGAACTCAGGTCCTCTTTTTGTTTTGGTTTTTTGTTGTTGTTGTTGTTGTTGTTTTGAGACAGGGTTTTTCTGTGTAGCCTTGGAGCCTATCCTGGCACTCGCTCTGGAGACCAGGCTGGCCTCAAACTCACAGAGATCCACAGGTCCTCTTTTTAAAGATTTACTTATTTATTATGTATACAGTGTTCTGTCTGCATGTATGCCTGCAGGCCAAAAGAGGATACCAGATCTCATTACACGTGATTGTGAATCACCATGTGATTGCTGGGAACTGAACTCAGGTCCTCTGGAAGAGCAGCCAGTGCTCTTAACCTCTAAGCCATCTCTCCAGCCCATGGGTATTCTTCTTCTTTTTTTTTTTTTTTTTAATTTTTATTTGCATTGGATCCCCTGGAACTGGAGTTACAGACAGTTGTGAGCTGCCATGTAGGTGCTGGGAATTGAACCCTAGTCCTCTGGAAAAACAGCCAGTGTTCTTAACCATTGTACTACTCCAGCCCAAGTTCAGGGGTTTATTTGATGGAGCACCAGGTCCTCTTTAAGTGCAGCAAATGAGGGCTGGAGAGATGGCTAAGAAGTTAAGAGCACTGACTGCTCTTCCAGAGGTCCTGAATTCAGTTCTCAGGCCCACATGACAGCTCACAACCATCCGTAACTCCAAGATCTGATACCCTCACACATACATACATGCAGGCAGAACAGCAATGCACATAAAATAAAAATAATAATTTTTTTAAAAAGACCAGCAAATGCCCTTAACCATCTCTCCAGCCCCCAACTAGTTACCTGGGACAGTCTCCCATTGGCTGGAGCTCTGGCATGCCCCTAACTCTATCCCCTCACAGCACTGGAGTCACTGACACCCTCACCACATAGCATTTATTCATGGGTTCTTGGGATCAAACTCCGGTCCTTATGCTTGCAAGACAGCCATCACCCGTCCAGGGAGCTGGAGACTCCAGTGGGTAGAACTAATAGACTGCTGGATACCATTGACCTTAACCACAGCAGGTGCTTTCTCTGTGTTCGTCTTTATAGACCATTTTGTTAGGCCACTAAGCGAGTCGCTAATAAACTTACTAGAAAAGCTGCAATTGTTGTGGTTATAGCTCAGCATTCACAAATGGTTAGTTCAATCCCCAGAACAGAATAAACCACACCTGGTGGCTCATACCTACAGGCCAAACAGTCAGGAGGTGGAGGCAGGAATAGTTCAAGATCACTCAGCTATATTGTGAGTTCAAAGCTGGGGTGGCCTACCATGAGACACCCGACTCCAAATAAGTAGTCTAGAGCTTATATGTGCAGGATCAAAATTCGACCCAGATTCATTTCCACTAAACAGGACATTGCTCATATACTAGCATGTTCCCCACGAAGCCCACAATGGTAAGCACACACAGTCAGTGTGCTCACATGCTGTGAGGAAGTTTGGGGTTAGCGAATTCAAACCTGCCCAGAGGGAACCCTAGTGTTGCTGGTGGATCTAGGGTAACTGCGTATCCGAGGAAAATAATCCTCACACCTCAGAGTGGAACGGGCAGGCCAGCACCCTGCCCAAAGCTCAGGCTCCCAGTAGCAAATGACTCCTTAGGGGATAGGGCTGGGGCTCAGTAGCCAGGGCTGTGACAAAGAACAGCCTGGGCATCCGAGCAGCCCCGCTACGCCCAGGTGACAAGGAACACACAAGCTCCACCCCTGCCCTTTTCACACAGGCAGACACACTCCAGAAACCACAAAGGAGACAGAGGTGCAGGCGGCCGAAGCCAGCATGATGCGCTCTAGGCAGGCAGCAGTCCGCGAGCGCGCAACTCAAGCAAAGGCGACAGCGTGTAGCGCAGCCGGCGGAAGACTGCGTCCGAGCCAAAACTACTCGGGAGTCCCGTGCCGGAGGTGTCGGGCTTCGCCAGCGCCACGTAGAGCATCGGCAGCGCCAGGAAGCCCAGCGGGAGCAGCAGCAGCGTCTGCAGTGCACTCAGCGCCCACAGCCTGTAGAACCACCAACGAACGTGCGACACGGGTTGGGGGCTCCGGGAACCCGGACCGTCGGGCCCCCACTAACCACTCACCTGATGCTCCCCGCGCCCGCACCGCCAAACAGCCGCTTTTCCTGCAGAGAAAGGGCCGCATCCAGCTCTGCGCCAGGGCAGCGGCCAGGTTCCAGACCTGTCTCTTGCCGGGAGAACAGGTCGCCCGTAGCGGGCGGGTCCCAGCTCCAGCCCGCACGCCCCGGCCCGCGCTCACACAGTCCGCTCTGGCCACCTCCTCCATGAGTGAGCCCGCACAGCCCTGCACCCGACGAGGCTGCGAGTTCCACCTGCAGAACCCGCACGGAGATGGGCCACCCGGGCTGGCCTTGCGCTGCCCTACCGTCCTCCCCAGTCCCAAACCTTACGGTTCCGAGCCACCGCGCGTAGCCTCCAGCGCAGCCGCTGCCTCCATCACCTTTCCCTGTAGCTCCTGGAGGGTGGCAACAGGGACTCAGGGCGGAGGATGCGGTCCACCGCGGGTCAGGGGGTGAGGAGAAAGGGTTGAGGCCGCGGGGCATTCGAAAGGGATCGGCTCTCAGAACCAATGGGGCCGCACCTGCAGAACTCCACTCTGCTCCTGAAAGCTGGCCCAGGCCTCTTCTGTACGCTGCGCGCCCTAGAAGCCAGGGGCTGGGATGAGCATCGCCAGGGCACGCCCTCCCCGAGCCCTCCCCTCAGAGCCCAGCGCCCTTTGCACCTGTCGCAGGCCTTCTGCTTGCTTGGTGAATTTGGCCTCTGCCACCTCCAGATGTTTCTTCGGGAGGATCCAAAGGATGTCAAGAACCTGCGCACACCTCTGTGCCCCAAGGC